TTTCGTTTCCTACCTCCTTACTTACTTCTTCCTCCTTCTTCGTTACCCCTACCCCCCTCCCTCCCCTTCCCTCCCGAGGTTCCTCTCCTCCTCTTTCCCTTCCTCTCCTCCTCTCCTCTCTCCTCGACCTCTACCTTGCTCCCATCGTTCAGCCTCTCTCTCTCTCTCGCACTCTCTCAGCATGTCGACTGGCGCAGGAACTTGTCTTCGGTGTAGCTTATGGCTGCTACTGCGACCCTTCGGGACTGGTGAGATCAATGAAAGAAGAAACAAGTTGAGAGGAGAGGAAGAGGGATGGATAAGATAAGGGCGATGCAGATGTCGGTCATCTTGATGATCGTGGTTGTGGTGGAGATGGTGAAAGTGGTGATGGTGATGGTGATGGTTGATCGCGATGATGACGAAGATGACGATGTTGCTGCTGCTGCTGCTGCTGCTGCTGCTGCTGCTGCTGCTCTTGATAGTGGTGGTGGTGATGGTGGTTTTGGGACGGAACCGAATCCAGGGATGAGAATTAGTGCAGTCTGAGAAGTAGCACAAGTGGAGGGAGGAGAGGGGAGGGGAGTTGGAGGATGGAGAGAGGAAGGAGAAAGCGGAGCAGAAGTGAAGAGACGAAGGGGGGAGGAAGGACGGGGCAACACAGGCATTGCGGGGAAGGAGACTGGAGGAGGAGAATGCACTGAACGCAAGAACAGGATTGTGTTTGTATCAAGGGGTACGACTTACCTGGAGGAATTCCTATCTCCATCTTCTACTGCGCCGCTGCTATCGCTTCCCTCATCTTCATGTGGACAGGTAACCTCCCTCACCGCCCGTCAACAAAACTATCACCTCTTCCCTCTCCTGACCTCCTTGTACCTCATCTTCCTCAGTCTCTGTCCCCTCACCTTCGACCGACACCACCATCTCCTCCTCCTCCTCCTCCTCCTCCTCTTCCTCCTCCTCATTCTTTTTCTCTTCCTCCTCCTCATTCTCCTCCTCCTCTTGTCTTCTGGCGACTCTTCCCTTTCCTCTATGTTAGTTCATCCCTTCAACCTCGTCGTCGACCTCCCTCCCTTATCCTACTGCCTCTCTCCCTCCCCTCTCTCCTCTCTCCTCTCTCCTCTCTCCTCTCTCCTCTCTCCTCTCTTCTCTCTCTCCCTCCCTCCTCTCTCTCTCCTCTCTCCCTCCTCTGCAAATCGACTGACCTATCCTTCCCTTCCTCCGACAGCTTTTCTCTCTATCCTGCATATCATCTTCGTAAGAGATCGAGACTTTTCTTCTCTTCCTCTAACTGCCTTTCAGCTGAGAGCAATGAGCGATGAGAGGGAGCAGGAGCATTTCATGAATCTTACTTCCGTCTCGGTTGCTCCTGCTCCTGCTTCTGCTGCTCCTGCTTCTCCTGCTCCTGCTCCTGCTGCTCCTCCTTTCCTCCTCCTCACTCAGCACCTCTCCTTATTTTGCTTCTTCTCTCATTCTTCGCTCAGGTTGTGGGAAGGCTTCTCACCTCTGGCGCTATCGTCTTGCCGGTCACTTTCGGTGTCTTCGTCATCTACAATGACGAACTTGGGTTGAAGGTTCGCCCGACGACTCCTGCTCCTGCTCCTGCTCCTGCTGCTCCTGCTGCTCCTGCTGCTCCTGCTGCTCCTGCTCCTTCCTCCTCCTCCTTCTTCTCCTTTCTCTACACCACCATGCTTCTCCTCCCCCCTCTCTGCTCCTTCACTCCTCCATGCTTTTCTCATCTCTACCACAGTCTGCCTACTACCACAAGGGATACCTACAGGACGACGTGGTTGCCGGGATCAGTTACTGCCTCGTCGCCTGCTGCCTGATCCTCTTCTATCTCTGCTTCCTCCTCCTCCTCCCCCTCCACATTCAGAAGATTTACGAGGTCTCCCTTCCTTCCCCTCCTCGCACCCTATCCACTCCGCCGCCTTGTCTCCCCCACCCTTTCCTGGTTCTACCCATCTTCCTCCTCGTCCTTCTCTTCCTTCCTTCATCCTTCCCCTCCTCCTCTTTCTCTCCCGTCTTCCTTGCCGGACCTCCTCTCCTCCTCAGCCTCCTCTCCTCCTCAGCCTCTCTCCCTCTTCCCGACTTTTCTCCCTCCCTTCCTCTCACCGAGGCACTCTGACGATGGTGGGAGCAGACAAAGGTTTCGTGCTACAGGCAGGACGTGAAGCAGTCGCAATTGAGGGAGCCGAAGAGGTGGAAGGGGGAGCGGAAGGGGGAGGAGCGGCAGGTGCTGGTCAATCGACATGTGATATAGGAGGAGACAAGGTTGAAGGAGAGCTGTCGTCCTCGTGAAGGGTTCAGTGAGGAGGGGCAGGGGCAGGAGGACCAGGAATGACAGGTGGTGGGGGAAGGGAACAAAGAGGGAAAGAAAGGGAGGAGAGAAGGGGGAGGAGGAGGGATTGGTCGAAGGGCAATCGTATAGCATTACAAAAGAGATGTACATGTATTAAATGATTTCTGCTGGAATCACAAGCGAGCAAATCGAGAGGAAGCGATTCTTCTGCAAGCTTTCCGCCCCCTCCGTCACAACATCTCGCTCAGACTCTTCTCATCTCTTCTCCTCTACCGCAGCTCTCACTTTGGAGAACACCTCCTGCAGGAACCAAGTCAGCGACAAGCTCGAGGGGGAGGATGGCGACGGGAGGCATGCTGTGCGCATGTGGAGGAAGACGAGCGTGTACAGCAAGGGAGATGGGGAGGGGAGAAGGAGCGAGGAGGGAAGGAGGAGGGAAAGCGAGGAGGGGACTGGGAGAGAGCAGGAGCAGGAGCAGGAGGAGCAGGAGATGGCGATGGAGGAGATGGAGGAGCAGGAGCAAGAGCAGGAGCATGGAGTGCATGGGAGGGAGGAAGCTGAGCTAAGACGAGGTACCTCCATCTTAGTGCTTCTGAGCTGCGGGAACGGACGGTCCTCCGGCCCACAGGAAAAGACAAGCTGACCGTTTACATGAACTTCCAGCGCTCCCTTGGTAGGACGAGGAGGAAGCTGCAGGAGCTCCGGGGTCCACCCCTTCCTGGGGTGACCCAGAATGCGCGCATGGGGGTACTCCCTCCTCACCAGGGCCTCGAGCTGCAGGAGGATCATCGTAGGTTGAGGAGGAGGGAGGAGGAGGGAGGAGGAGGAGGAGGAGGAGGAGGGAGGAGGAGGGAGGAGGAGGGAGGAGGAAGGAGGAGGAGGAGGAGGAGGAGGAGGAGGAGGAGGAGGAGGAGGAGGAGGGGTACATAA